GAAAAGAATAATTTTACTTTATAAAGCAAACAGTGATTATATTCAGGTAAAGCAATAAGACATAAAAGAAAAATCATTTCAGTCAATAGACATTGGAATCATATTTCATTATGTAAGATTGAAAGGAAAGTTAGCGTTTATGTTTACGCTGTCCCTCCCCTGGATGCAAAAATATAATAGTGTTGTTGCCTTTGATGATAATTATGTGCTTGTGCACCTGCAGTCCAGCCAGGGGAGAACTCACGCTGCTCAGTCTCTCCAGCTTCAGCCTTCGCTATTGCCACAGCAGCAGCAGGACACGGTACACCACCAGGTACACACACACACACACACACACACACAGTAAAAATGATTAAACAATTCATCTAGATCATAATTCTAATTGCAAAAGCTGCCAGAAAAATCAAAAAGGAAATATAAAGAAAAAACAATGTAAAAGTGAATAATACCTCAAATGTAAAAACCAGAAATATAAAATAATATAATATAATAACCCCGTGGTGGGCATAAAATAAAAATGTTATATGGTTAATTTTGTTTCTTTTTTTTAGTTATATATAGGTTTAATATTGTTAAAGCAGTAACATCTCTTGGGGGACAGGGTCAGTGGATAATCCATAACTCAGTTTCCATAATCATGAACCTTTAAAAAATAGCTCATGTGATGCTTTAATATTCAAAACTTTGAAATGCCTGCTTTTTGTTTGTTTTTGATTTTCCATCCAGTGTTTACTAACTCTGAAAGAACCTGTGATAAAGAGTTCATCATTCGCCGAGCTGCAACTAATAGAGTTCTCAATGTTCTGCGCCACTGGGTCTCCAAACATTCACAGGTCTGTCTGTACCCACCACTCTCTGTGTATGTTGTGTGTGTGTGTGGGTGTGTGTGTGGGTCCAGTGTTTTGCTGGAGTGATCAAGTCTGCGGTCTCATTAAAACAGGTGATTGATGCGTTCTCGCTCTGCTCCACTGCTCCCAGTTGATGGCGTAAACAGCAAACTGTGCACAAACACACACCAAATATTGTTTTAACTGGTCAGCTGGCTCAGCCTGCCTACTCTTGTGCTAAACAGCCAGCCTCTAATGAATTGAACATCAAGGTAATTGCCTGCCTCCGTGCAGAGATCTTTACACTCTAACTGCATCGATATGTTTTATGTATTTTTCTTCGATAAAACAAAATGCTGTGATGACAGTCCAGCTTTAGCCAGCTTATTAACACACAGGCCCGCACAATGACATACACACATACAGACACCCACGTATTTTTTAGAGGCCAGAGAACAGAAAGAGCTTGTTAAAACTGACCTTTAAACAGGAGTTAAATTGAGGTAGGAGTAAAGCAGAAAATTGGAGGAGAGGAAAGTGAAAAGACTGTAAGAAATGAAAGAGGAACGGGAATTTGGAAGAAGTATCATGCTGCAGTGACTGATGATTGATCAGGTGATGCTTTTATTGTGTGTGTAATTACAAGAGTAGAATCACCTGTAGTCCAGGTAGTATGTGAATTTATAATGTGTGAATAATATTCCTCAGTTGGTTAACAATATATCTACTGAGACTAATAATCAGCTATTTAATCAGCTGTGCAGTGGTAGCTGTTTCTTTGGTATTTTAAAGTACCTTACACATCAGCTGAACAACATACTTCATGAAATGCAATTCTCTTATTATGCAAGTTCTTAACTATGGGTACTTATGCCCCTGGGAATACTTCTGCAAAATAAGTTGGTTAAAAAGATCTAAATTAAAAATCTGAGTAAAAAAGCAAATGTATCTAGTGCTAAAAACCAGGTATCAAAAAAGCAGCAGTATTTCGAATAATGAAATATAATTGGCTATAAATGGGTTAAATAGTTACATGGGTGAAACATGTAGGTTCTGAGTAAAACAAATGAGTTTACCAAACTGACCTAAATCCTCCACAAGAAACACAATAAAGAGCCTAAAGATCCAGCCTATAAATTCTTCTCATCCCAGTCTGGTCAAGCATCTGAAGGATGCACCGAAACTAGACCAATCCAAAGAGCCTAAAACCACAAGAACCAGAACAAAAGTATCTTGGTGCCACAGGACAGAGGTCCCAATGACATGCCCAAATGGATCAGAGCTATTCTGATGGAGGATGTGACGAACTGCTTTGTATATTACTAATAACAGAAAAGTACTCTGTATTATATCACCAACTAAAATGAAATATACCATGATAGAGGACATTTTTCCCACTTAGACTTTCCATTTAATTCAGTTGTGTTGTTTGTTTGTTTACTTTTTATTAATCTTCACTTCTCTGGTTAAGATTTTAATTTGAATCAAAATCAGGCTTGTGTTACTGTTACCATTACTACCAAAGTCTGTCTAATGTAAACATGTATTTGTTTGTGCTTAGGACTTTGAGATGAATGGAGACCTTAAGATGTCAGTGATCTGTCTCCTGGAGGAGGTGCTTAGAGATCCAGACCTTCTGCCTCAGGAGAGGAAAGCTACTGCGAACATACTAAAGTACAGCTGAAACTCAAATACACACAAAAACATGCTCTCGTACAAACAAGCAGCTTGTACGCGAAGCACTTTGGCACCTTTGAATGACAAAAATATGTCATCAAATAGTGTTGTTTTTTATTTTTAACACTCTCTTGTTCTAATACTTTTACTGTTCTCCTCTATTCTGTCTGATAGTGCGCTTTCTCAAGATGATCAGGAAGATGCCCAACTGAGAATAGAAGACATCTTACAGATGGTGAGAAAACTTTCTGTCATATATACAAACTTTTTCATCCTGGGTACTGATATTAACAATTCCTTTAAGCCAAATTTCAAAATTCAGCTGCCTTAAACCCTCAGTATCTGTACTTGGATCGATATCAAAGTGAGGAGCGGAGATGTCATCGATATGTTTATCCCAGGCAAACAGCTCTGGCTGTAGGCACAGCACTACCCACATGCTGTTCAAACTTTCTCATTGCATTCAGAAGAAAGGTGATTTAAGGGGAGGGTGAAGAAAGCTAAATCAGATTGTTTTAGGCAGTGGATCAACAGTGGGCATCTTGACGAATGCCCACTATAAGATTAAAAAAAAAGGATTATTTTGAAATCTCAAGGTATTTTATTCAGTTAGCTTTTAGTAGTGACTCTATAATATAGCGAGTTTTAAATTTGCCTAAGATGCAAAAGGTCCTTATTCAAGACCAGGAGGAGACACCAGTCATTTTGGGGTTGTGATGTGGATGCTGGATGTGGAGCTACTTGCTCTGGCAACCCAATAAGGGAGGAGTTTATTTAGCAAGCTTTAATCTATCTACTCTATCTCCAGTATAAAAAGAGAAAAAGTAATTTTCTACATAGCTTAAACGTCTTGTTTTGCAATACCTAATTGTATGGCTTTGTTCATGTAGTTACAAAGTATTACAAATTTCTGCAAAATACTTCACAGTTATCACCACCTGTTGCACATGATGACAAAAAAAATCACAAGCACTGACAATTTCCTAGATTGGATCGGTTATCTCTGGAAATCACAAACAAATAGACGTATTGCGTTTGTAAATTGTGAAAAGCGTCTGTCATTCACAGTGTTCTAAGCTCTGGGCAGAAGGGGTAAATAGACTCTGTGCTGACAGTGATGCTACCCAGGGAACTGTCAAATGTCATAAACCATATTTATCACAGCCTGTCTCTTTATTAGATATTTATATCTCACTATCTCACTTCTGTTTGGGGTCATTTGTTTTTTATGTCTTTGTCTCTGAATGTGTGTGTGTGTGTAGGCGGACTGCCCGAAGGCAGAGTGTTTTGAATCTCTCTCAGCGATGGAGCTGGCTGAACAGATCACTCTGCTGGATCACATCGTCTTCAGGAGCATCCCTTATGAGTCAGTCCTCTCATGAAACCCAGTCAGTCCTCTCATATGTGATCTGCATCAGGTCAAATAGACATAAATCCCCTTTATGGGCACTGGGCATGCTTTTAGAAGGACATAAATGAAAACTAATGGCATTTTATTTCAACTTTACAACTCCAAACATCAGAGAATAGATTTGCACTTGCTTACCATCTGACTTCAGAGGCATTAGAAAATGAAACGTATACTCTGCTATACTTGAGTGTGTGTGTGATCTCATTTGGGTATATCTCTGTCTTCCCTCTCGAAGAGAGTTCCTGGGCCAGGGATGGATGAAGGTCGATAAGACAGAAAGGACACCTTACATCATGAAAACGAGTCAGCACTTCAATGATGTAACTTCTTCCAATGTGTTTAAGCACCATTTCTTTCCAGACTCTTCTGTAAAGATTCAGTACCTATAGCTCTTCATTAATACCATACTACTCTTTTCTTTTTCTTTTGAAGATGAGTAACCTGGTGGCATCGCAGATTATGACCCATACTGATGTGGGCTCAAGGGCCAACTCCATTGAGAAGTGGGTTGCTGTGGCAGACATATGTCGTTGTCTGAACAACTACAACGGAGTATTGGAAATCACATCCGCACTCAATCGAAGTGCTATCTACCGTTTGAAGAAGACCTGGGCTAAAGTCAGCAAACAGGTGGGGTAAATCCTGAACAACCCTCTCTATATGCAAAACCTGAAATACTTGTTTAAAGATCTAAAGTGTATAAACACTTAATCTCATCGTGAAGCACTAGAAAAAAACATCTTTTGTCCAAAATGTTTACAAATGGGAATTCTTTCATTGGCACTGATACTGTACCATTAGAGGGTTTCAGAGAAGAGACGAGTGCTTAATCACACTTAATGCTAATAGCGGTAAGGTTTATTGTCTGCTCTTTACTTAATCCTGATAACATTCAGCAGACAGGCTGCCTGCAATGCTATTCATGGCTGGAGAAAGTTTCAAATCTTGCCATTTTAGATCATTATAAATGCCTGTTTGTGATCTTTTTCAGACTAAAGCCCTGATGGACAAACTGCAGAAGATTGTGTCCTCAGAAGGGCGATTTAAAAATCTGAGGGAGACGCTGAAAAAGTGAGACTTTGCATTTGTTTTTAAAATACCATCATATGTAAGAAAAAGCGCAGCACAATGGTGCAGTGGTTAGGACTGTTGGCTCACAGCAAGAAGGCCCTGGGTTTGAATCCGTCATCTGGCCGAGGCCTTTCAGTGGCTTCGGCTTTATTCATTAGTGGGTTAGATTATGTGGTGATTTCAAATTTCCCATAGGTGTGAATGTGGGAGGGAATGGTTGCCCGTCTCTCTGTGTTAGCCCTGCATCACACTGGCGACCTGTCCAGGGTGTATCCTGCCTCTTGCTGTATGATAGCTGGGATACACTCCGGCAACCCTGATAGGGATAAGCAGGAGAGAATAGATGGATGGACGTATCAAAAAATGAGTTTTTATGGACTTGGAAGCAAGTTGATTTGTATGCTATTCTTTAACTCTCTCATTCCAGTTGCAACCCTCCTTGTGTGCCATATTTGGGAATGTATCTAACAGACTTGGCCTTTATAGAAGAGGGAACACCAAATTTTACAGAGGAGGGTCTTGTTAACTTCTCCAAAATGAGGATGGTAAGCATGTGTAAATAAATGCACTGGAAGCAGATCAACTTGAGGTGCACGCTGTTAAGTCAGTATTAAGATAAATTCCATATTTTATTCAGATATCTCACATCATCAGAGAGATCCGACAGTTCCAGCAGACGCCGTACAGAATAGAGCATCAGCCCAAGGTACTTTTATTTTTTATTTTTATCTGTACTACCTTTCTTTATCTAAAGATCAAAAACATCACAAGGCATTATTTCATTTAGACGACATGCAATTATTATTACTTAAACAATGTAATCAAAGGGCAGGATAACATTTAAACTGTCAAAAAGCTTCTAAAATAATAATTAAAAAAAAACTAGTCTGAAGAAGTGAGGTTTGAGAGTGGTTTTAAGGAATTAGTTTTGCTTGGTTTGACTGCACAGATTATTCTTCGATGCGCTGGTCTTGGCTCTTGTTCTGAGAGGATTACTGAAAATCCCTTTGATATATGAGTAGTCTTTTTTTTTTTCTTTTTTTTTTAAATGCATGGAACAACAGAAGCCATCCCAAATTACCCAGTCTTCTGTTTTTGCTCTAACATGCTCATCTTTCAAACAGGTATTAGTTGGAGCAACCAGAAAACAGATTACTTTAATGAATAGCTTATTTGCAAAATCCTATTGGTGTATTTCCTGTGAGATCATCTTATAGTCAAAATCACATCAATCTTTAATTGAAAATAAATAATTGAAGCTGTAGTCGTAAATATATTTTAATCATCGTGCCTGTCATCCATATTTGATTATAACCAGGTGACCCAATACCTTCTGGATAAGACTCTGATCATGGATGAGGATACACTTTACGATCTCTCCCTGAAGATTGAGCCCAGGCTTCCCGCCTGAGTTAGAGCTGTTTGTGGCCTGTGGGAGCCTGCTGAACCTGGACCCCCAAAAGGGCAAAACGCCCACGTGATCTCATCAATCAAGAGAAAGTTGGAAGAAGAATTTTCAGAGCAACTTGGAAATAGAATGAGATTTGGTCTAAGGAGACAGATATCGATGCATGCGGTCAGTTGAACATGTTTGAGAGCTTTACAAGAGAAAGGGGAATATAAGAATGAGAAATGCACCTGTAAGGTTGTAAGACAGCTCGTCTTCGAGGGGAAAGGGAGGTTGCATTGTATGAAGGTTTTAAGGAAATTGCATGTCATTGTCTGGTGCACATGGCATCACACTTCCTGAGGCAGCCTGAGAGTCCAGGACAGGGTGAGAGAGAGGAGTTAATGGATGTAACAGAGATGTAGCATATACAGATAGTGTGACAGAGAGGTGTTTGAGCTTACGTCTCTGTACTATTGTCTGTGTTCTTTTGCCTGTGCATTTTCCGTGCCATGTCCTGTGGAGCAAGACCCCTAAAATGCTTTCTGTCATGAAGGTCACTGCATAAAACTTGCATGAATTAAGCTTAGGATGTAACTGTCTAAATTGCCTTCATTCTGACCCCTGATCCTCTGCTTAGCATGCACCGCTTTTGCCAGGGTGACTTCTTAAGCCATTATGCATCCTCAGTGGGCTGAATGCGTCAAAAGCCTTTAAACTTTCACATATAATGCAGAAAGACAAAAACGAAACACAAAATGTGATATATTTTAATGAATTTAGATTTTTCCCTTGTTAAGCAATTAATTCTATATTTATTTGTGATTGCTTAATTTGGTTGACTTTTTTTTAAAGAACATATGAATGATTAAAATTAAAACATTTATTCAGTGCCTTCCACTAGTGTAGGTCAATCTCCCACATTCCCAAATTGAAAATTTGCAAGCACAAAGTTTTATATAAATTCAAATTTAAAATATTAAAATTTTATTTAAAATAAAGACTGTAATTTTACTCATTCATTTCCTTTTTTTTAAGATCATGTAGACTAAACAGTAGCATGTCAGTGTAATGTAGTAAAGCCATTGCAGCATCCAATGAGCATATATCTCCCTCTACTGTTTAAATATTGTTATAACCTCTGCTAACACAAAGCTTTGCAGCATGTGTGTGCAATTTGTTTTTTGTTTTTTTGGCATTTATTGACTGTCAGCTGGGCTAGTGGGTGTCATCAGGCCTCTATGTGTAACTGGGGCGACTACAGTCTAAACTGGGACAGTACACAGTGCACTCCCTGAGATGTAGCTTTGCTTGATTGAAAGGGTGATCATTATTTACCATGCTATTTATTTCAGATGCTGTATTTATATTATTTTTTGTATATAGTGACTTTACACATATTGTACGATTGAAGAAGAAATACTTGGAATTGTTATGCTGTGAATACTGATTTTATTGTTGTTGTTGGGTTTTTTTTCTTTGTCTCTCTGGTTTTCATGTTGAATTTTAATTTTGCATCGGAGGCTCTTGTATAGGAAAAAAAATCTGTTCAACTTTATTCTAAAAAAATGCCTTTCGAAGGTTAAAAAATGTAGCACTTCAATAATAAGACATTGTTTTCTGTATTAATGATATGATAAGTATAATTGTCCTGCATGCACACAACAGCTGCATGTTGTGCATGTCTGACTGGACGCTTCCTTTACCTTCTTCCTCTGCTTCTCTATAATAATATAGTCTCTGTAGCTGTCAGGAAAAAAAAAGAAAGGTATAAAAACAATACTTTGTCCATCGAATCAGGCACGTTTGTCTCTTAGTGTACCTCACAAAGTTAAGCCTCTTGGCTGTGTCTTCTGCAAAACAAGCTGTTGTTATGCAGTAGCAGTGTTGCAACGTTTCTCACAGAACAATAACCTTATTCAAAATCAATTAGAGGAAATGTTTCAGACTTTGCTCTTGGGAAAACTTGCCCTTTTGCACTGCGTCTGTAATTCTGAGTGTCTGTTTCACATTAAAAGTGTGGGAATACAGTATCCTATGTTTGTATTGTAATATTATCTTCGTGTTTATTTGTTTGCATTTTCATGTGTGGGTGCAGGGGAAATAAATTCAACATGCCTTATACGTTTGCATATTTCTTTGGAGTCCTTAGTAAGAATTTCAGTAATATTACCACTAATGTTGAGTCCACTTCATCTCTTTTCTATAATGCATCAAAAAATATCACTAAACTATTGTGGCCAAACTTTGTAAAACCAGACACCAGAAAAAGATTTTAATTCCAAAATAAGTTGGAGACACTGAGTAAAATGTAAGTAAAAGTAGAATGCAGTAGTTTGCAAATTTCAAACTCATTGTTATGCACAGAAAAAAATGTAAACAAAAATTTCATGAAAAATATTAGCTCATTTTGAATTTGATGGTAGCATCATGTCTTAAAAAAGTTTGGATGGGGCAGCAAAAGTCTGGAAAAGTAAGTGATTCTAAAAAGAAACAGCTGAAAGGACATTGCTGCTAACTAGGTTGACTGGCAACAGGTCATTAACATCAAAAGAGCATCTTAGAGAGGCAGAGCTTCTCAGAAGTCAAAATGGGCAGAAGTTCTCCAACCTACAAAATGCTGCATCTAAAAAACTGTACATGTAACATATTATGTACAGAATTTTTCTGCCGTTGATCCAGGTTCAGGTCAAGAGTCCCTTACACTAGCCACCTCCTCCAGCTGATCCAGGTGGACACTGAAGCATTCCCAATTTAGCTGACAGACATAATCTCTCCAGCTCCCTTTCTTCTGTCCTGGGGCCTCTTCCTGGTAGCTGAACCACCTCCAGTTGCTCCTTTCACTGTGCAGGAGTAGTGGCCTTACTATGAGCACATCCTGACTGACAGAGGTCCTCATTCCATACCTACACCAGAGTCCAGTCACCCTTTGAATATTATTCTATAATGTTGAGTCTGGCTATAGAATAATGTTCTTCAATGAAAAAACTATTCTGGGATTCTTCAAAAATCTCTGTGCATAAGGAACAAGGCTAAAATCAATATTGGATCCCTGTGATACACAGCATTACAAACAGGCATGAGTCTGTCATGGCAATCACTGCATAGGCTCAGGAGCACTTCTAGAAGTTAATGTCTGTGAACACAGTTCCCTTGTGCCATCCACAAATAAAGGTTAAAGCTTTATCATGCAAAGAGGAGGTTGTGTGTGAACAAGATCCAGAAATGGTACCATCATTTCTGGGCCAAAGGTCATTGGAAATTAACTGAGGCAATATGGAAAACTGGTTTGTGGTCAGCTGGATTGAAATTTTAAATTATGTTTTGAAAAAAGTTTACTGTGTCCTTTAGACTCATATTTCAGCAAAAACAATGCTAAACCACATACTGCATCTATCATAACAGCATGGCTGAACTGGCCCAACTGCAGTCAGACCCTTCACCAAATAAAAACACTTGGTACATAATGAATCAAAAATATGGCAAAGCATACCCAGGACTGTTGAGCAGCTGGAATCCAACAAGAAGGGAACAACATTCCTCACCCCCAAAAGCCCAGCAACTAGACTCCTCAGTTCCCAGATGTTTACAAGAATAGGGGATGCTACATAAAAGTAAACATGACTGACTTTTTCCCCCAGCTGTGTTGTGGCCATCAAATTCAAAATGATCTAATTTTCTTCTTAAAATGGTATATGGTATGTTTTTTCCATTATGAATCAAATATGAGTTTATGAGATTTGCAAATCATTGCATTATGTTTTTATTTACATTTTACATAGCATCCCAACTCTTTTGAAATTGGGGTTGTACATATCGAATGTGATAGTGCTCTTCAAATAATGAATAATTAAGTAATTTAAAATGTTGCAGATTCACATTTGAAGCATTGCAATAACAATCAACACGATATTTGAAAGTCTAAATCTCTATCCTTGTTGTCTGGAGATATTTCATGCAGATACTGAACTTGGGATATTTGCACAGTTAGGACCTTGAATTTTATGAAGATGCCCCTCTGTATAATTAATTTGTTCCAAGCCACTTTTTATTTTGATTGTTAGGGATACAAGAATGTGCAAAGCATGCTATGAAATAAGAATTTCTATTCAGATATGCTTCAGGCTACATTGCTGCTTCTGATGAAGAGTGCTCTATCTTGGGACTAGTGCTGAAAACAACAAGTACAGTTCATGCATACAGTATTCTACGTTGGCCTATAAAACCTGCTTACATGTGTGTAGTCCTTTGTGAAAGAGTAACCAGGCAGCTCCGAGGCAAACATACTCAGTGCACTGCATGGAGGATGGTATTTTAAGAACATAACGGGTTTTTTTTCCAACTGTTATTTTCTTTCACTTTTTCCACAAAATTACAAAGTACTACCTACTGCTTTGCACTGATGTTCAGAGTGGTGCACAAATGAAACACTCTCATCCACTGTAACACGACATTATATTTTAGGAAAAAAGTATACTTCTTAGTGCCACCTAAAAACAAAGTGCTACAAGTTCTATATGTCAGTGAAACAACTGTAATCACTATATCTGCCTCATAAATGACAGGTTCTGACTCTGAATGATGACCCATGACTGTGGTTGTCCTGCCACCATGTGGTCACAACTGATTTTGCGTCTTTATTCACCAGTACACACATCCATCAGCCAAAATTCTGGACACTCAAGCATGGGGTCAACAAGACCATCAAAGGTAAAAGATGTATTATCTGCCCCTTTTAGTACACTTATAAATCTTATAAACTGGCTAACTGACTAACTCTTGACTAATGACTAACTCTTTTTAATATCTATTTAATGATCTTATGGTGATCTGCGATTCTACACTGGCTGTGGAGGTGAGGAAGAATACGTGAACAGAACAATGCAATAAATGAATGAATCGTTAAATATGTATGTTAGTCCAAAGTGCTTTGAGTGGTCTGCAAGAATAGAATAAGTGCTATATAAATACCAGTCCATTATATTCAGTTTAATTGTGGGTGACATATTGAATTCTATGTAGTGATTGTAAGCTTCATGGACACGTATTATGTAGTGGTTAATAATTGTCTTAGATATGCTGAAATGAACAAGTATCAAACTAGAGAGCATTAAAGCGGTGGCTGTAGCTCAGGAGATAGAGCAGGACATCTACTAATTGGAAGGTTTTGGTCTGATTCCTGACCGCTCCAGTCTGCATGCCAAATATCCTTGGAGAACACACAAACCCCAAGTTGCTCATTCATACTTGTGTGTGAATGTTAGATAGGAAGCTGTTAACCCTTTCATACATGAATTATGACAACCACAACCAGGATACTTTTCTTAAGTATTTTTATTCACCTTCAGGCATGAAAAGATTAATAAAAATACTTAAGAAAAGAATCCTGATTGAGGTTTTCATCATTCATGCATGACAGGGTTAAAAAACAATAATTACAATGAAACA